TTAGCTGTGGATGAGGCTGTGATATTTGAAAAGTATCTAGCCTGGCTTTTTAAATTTTAATAAATTCTTAAATTAATTCAGAGTCGAGGACTATAGTATTAAAAACTACTTTTTATGAAGGGGATGCTACTTTTCTTGGACGTGCCTCTTGAGAACCAAACGATTTAATGTGTATCCGAAGATGATGATGATGATAAAAATAGTAATAATAATAACAATAATAATAATAATTTAGGCTGGGTTAAACATATTACAATATCCTTTTATATTTAATGAAACAAATTAAAAAAAAACAAACAAGCGAGACAATTAAAAATGTTTTTGTAATATGTTCAATTAATTTTCTTGTTAGTTGAAAGAACATTTTAATTTATTTGACATGTTTCTCGCGCCTTGGTTCCTGCGACTTGCACATCTGCCCAAAGGTCAAGTGTTCTTTTACAAGGCGAAACTTGAAGCAGGAGAAAACCAAGAGGAAGGGATCTGAGGAAGAGAGGGAAAGTGGAAGAACGCTGAAGGAGGCAAGCACGGAACCCTTGTCATTAATTTGATGAATTATAGTGAAATGCATTAATTCTGTCACTTACGTTTTTCTTTTTACCAAACGTACTTGTCGACAGAGGCACACTAGGCATTCAACAGAATAGATCAATTTCACGTCACAAATTATTCTTGGAACATCATCACATTCTAATTTCTAATTCTAATTCTGTATTGTAACAAAATCCTATCAATTACCCCCCCTATACACTACTTGGAGGCATATTGTCAAGTAATTAATAATTATTAAACGTTTACCAAACCAAACTTCACAGTGACAAAAGTAATTATTGCAATAAATTTCCGGGAAGTAAATGCAAGAAACTTCTTCAAGTTTCTCTAAAGTTATCTAAAGTTCTCATTAGTAACTAATGAACAATTTCGTGATATTGAAGTACCATTCTTATATTAATACTTTGATCAGTGGCGGCTTGTTCTTGGATAGCACGGTTGGGCAACCCCCAGATAATCGAAAAGTCTTATAATATATTAGGAATACATATTTTCCATTTAATATCATTCAATATTCAATAGAGTGAAGCAAAATCAAAGTCTACGAAATCATTTTGAAATCAAAAATCGCCCCACCAGAGCTCTCCCCGACGTCTCATGCACCCCTAGGTAGTGCACCATGTGGGGTTGCGAGCTCTTTCCCCACCACTACCAAAGAATGTCACCAAATAATCTCTCCAATGAAACAAAATTCCCCAACTTATAAACGAAAAAATATTCTTCCAAATATGGACAAACGACATGAGCTGTGCCTGACGATTCCATTGGCTGTTCCATTAAATTCAAATCAGCCAATCATCGTCTACAAGGCTGCTCGAAGCCTTTTTGATATATAAAATTGTCTATTGTTTCTTTTTAATTCATAATAATTGAAATATTTCTATCTCGACTCCGGATGAGAATAATTTCCCCAAAAAATCTTCAAACATTTACCATCCAGTTTTGTTCACCATTCTTTTCCCACAACGAAACAAACCCCCATTTTGGGACACAATCCCTCTATCTGGTAAACCTGGCACCATGTCACGCTCTTTTACTGTTTTACTCTGTAGCTTCACTATGCGTTTTGTTGACCTCTTGCAGTGGTAAGAGGGTGAATTACTATTTTGTTATCAATGCCGAAAAATCAAATCTGCATTTCGTTTACTGTTCCAAATAAGTTTTCTATAACTCTGGAACGAAAATATCTAGTTTTTCAAATGCTGGTAATCTCACGCTTTATTAAATTTCCTTTTTAATTATTTTATTTCTTTTCTTGAAAAACTTTTATTCATCTTTATGTCAACTATTTATAGTTTATCGAGAGAGAGAGTATGCTCTTTGCTCTCTTTCGATATATGTAATATATATATATATATATATATATATATATA